GATCCGATCCGATTTATTATAATAATATTATATATTTTATATATTATATCATAATTTATTAAACAAAATTTTTTCTATTTTGAAAATTATATTATGCTTTACGCATAATTTTCAAATAATAAATAATATTAGATAATAGTATAATATTTTTACTTGAAATATTCAAAGAGGTTTAATTTTTTATAAATTAAAATAAGATAAAAATAACTATAGTAATTTGTTTTATAACATCAAAAACTAATAATTAATATGTCCAAAAATAATTTACTTTGTTAAAATTGATATTATTTTTTGTTTTAATTTTGTTAAGGCTATGATTTTTAGTGAAAATAATAAAATAAACTAGTAAATACTTAGAATTGACAATTGAGTAGTATCTCACATTGAAAGACCACTAAAATATTAGAAGAGAAGTACCCTTTAAAAATATAGTATCCCACATAGGAAGATTATTAAAACATTACAAGAGAAATTTTTTTTAAAAGGAACTAAAGGAGCATCACTTGGATAAAAAATTGATTTGGGCCTTCTAGTATATTAGATGAGCCCATCAAGATAGTTAAAATATTTTTTTTCTGGAAAAAATTGGTGAAAAAAAATTCGGATCGGATATCCGATAATATAGCAAATCGGATATGGATTTAACAATCAAATATCCGTTGGATTATTGGATCGGATTGGATAATTTTTCTTAACGGATCGAATTTGGACAGATCCGCTCCATATCCGATCCATTGATAGCCCCAATCACTGCCCCTTCATTCACTTGAATAATTGAATTATTTTGAGCATTAGCTATCTCTTGTTATTGTGATTCTCTTGCTTCTCTTTATCTATGGTGAAACACACTCTATTTTCGAATTAGCAAGTATCAATTCATTGTCTCCCAAATTTCGCATAAAATGCTTAAAAGAGAGAAAATAAAATCACTGAAATAAATTGATAAAGAAGAAAAATAAATAAATAAAATCAAAAAGTTCGAACTAGTGCCAAATTCTATTAAATTAAACTCAACTACAATATTCGACAACGGCACCCAAACCTTGTCACAAAAATATTCTTCATTTAATATTACCGCAAGCCGCAAAACTCAAACAACTATTGCACATATATATGTAGAGAAAAATAAATTCATGTCAATTATTCAATAATTGAAGATGTGTTTTGAATATCAAAAATAAATAAGATTCGAAAGTCAAAATTTCATAATACAAGGTTCATTGTAATCCTAGCACTAAATTAATTTGGTCTAGCATAATGTCGAAATTAAACAAATAAAAGTGGTACGACATCATCGAGAGATTGACGAAACGTGATTAATTTACAAAATTCTGGCTCAAATTAGCGATAAATTATTGCACACAAGTTTGGAATTATTTTCCAATTATGCTCCTCTGTTCTTCCTCTTTGTCGTCATTGTGCTTATGCATATATTCTTCTGCCTCTTTCTGTTGGCTTCTGCGTGTTTTTTTTCCTTGGCCGCGTTTTTCCCATTTTTAATTCCATCCGTCGTCAGCTTTTGTAGTCAATTGGGAGTTCCCTTGTAATTGGACTTTTTCCCCTTCAATTGCCTTGAGGTCCAATTTAATTTTCACCCAATATCTTTCCTTTATTTCTTG